CACACACACACACACACACACACACACACACACACACACACACACACCAGGAAAAATGTTTGGTCACAGTTTTTTTTGTCTTATTTAACCCTCCACCATGTTTGTTTGTTTGTTTGTGTTGAAAAACAAAGTTCAGAGAAAACGGAGGCTTCCCATTGGTTCCTCTCAATCAGCGACAGTTATTTGGCACATTTAACAACTATTGAGTAACACATTTTGGGCAAAAAAAAAAAAAAAGGTGCAACATCATAACTCTCAATGAAAACAATAAAAAACCATTTTGGTTTACAAAAATAAAAGTTCACCTTTGAGAGACTTTCTCTATAAGACGATCGTTTCTCCTCACGACTGGTTCAAAGGCTACAAAGAAAAACAGAAAATCAAAAACCCTGAAATCAAAGAATGCATCAACAACAACTCAACCGTGAAGAAGTCCAGATGAACAGGTCTCATCATCATCATCATCATCATCATCAGTGAGGACTCCACCCTGAACCACGCTGACCACATGAACACACGGCTTCTTCTTCCTAAACATTAAAATACACTAAACTGCATCTTTATATTTATTTTATAAAATAAACTTTCAGGTGTCAGCTTCTACAATGTGACGATTTGATGCTTTTATTGTGACATGTGATGGAATAAAAAAAAAGTTATATGAAAAACTCCGCTCCGGTGTTTTTTGTCTATTTTAAATCGACCACATTATCGGATTAATTAATGATAAAAAATAATAATTAGTTGCAGCTTCTACTCAGCATCAGTTTGTCCTAAGGCATTCTGGGAAATGCAGGCCAACTCAACCGGTACAGAACTACATGCAGATGAGGCAGGGTGCGGTAAATGAGTGCAAAGAAAAAAAAAACGAATAATATTTAAACCCTTCATGTTAATAAAAATAAAAACACCTGAAATGCCTCAAACATCAAAGAGATGATCCAGAAAGAAATGCCTGAAAGAAGCTTGTGATTGGTGAATGTGAGGGTGGGCGGGTCCTTTACATCAGCTTCAGCATCGTCTTCTTCTTCATGTCGGCTCAACAGGAAGCTGTGAACCTAAGGGGGGGGGGTTCAATCAGTGTTGATGATCAACGTTCCTTCTCTAAGATCTAGTTCATGTTCCTGTGAGAACGTCTGGAGCAATGCATCCTGGTACATGTAGTTCATTACAGCAGGAGGAGGATCGCTGGACTACATTTCCCATCAACACTTGATCGCACCTCCACATAAAGAAAGAAAGGCGGCAAATTTTTCTGGTTTCTGGCCTCCAGGTGTTCAAACTGGTACAGTCCAACTGAGGTAACAGCCTGTCTCTCCCCCCCACCACCAAAACCACCACCACTAGCCCCTCCCACCACCACCCACCCAGCAGGAAATCAAGCCTCCTCTTCTTCTCCTTAAGCAGAGACAGATAATAGAACACTGGAGATGCGCACACACACACAGAGAGAGAGAGAGAGAGAGAGAGAGAGAGAGAGAGAGAGAGAGAGAGAGAGAGCCCCCCCCGTGGTCCAGTTCTTCGCCTGTTACCACAGCAACCGGCTCACACATGATGTCATCGGCCAACGAAATCTCAGTCTCCATGGCAACAAGAGCTGTACAAGAGCCAATCAGGAAAGAGTCCGTAGCTCGTTGCATTTCCTGGTTGTTGTTTTCTGCATTGGAATGATCACCCCCCCCCCCCCCCAGGGCGACTCAAGTAAATGTTGATGTTGGCACTTTATGCACTTCAGTGTGTGTGTGTGTGTGTGGGGGGGGGGGGGGGGTCGAGCAGCGATTATTATTGTTTAAATTTTTCTTTCTTTCAGCTTTTACCTCTCGCAGGAATACCACCCCCCCCCCCCCCCCCCCCCCCCCCC